TGGTCTGAACAAGAAAAAAAGGGAAGATGAGATGAAATAGAATTTGACACCTCAACCTACTGAATTATATATATATATAACTTTAGTAAATAATACAACATAATTATATTTCTATATCTTACATTGAGCAATTTGGTCTGAACAAGAAAAAAAGGGAAGAAAAAAGAACAAAAAATGTTACATTTTGTGCAATTATCAATCTCACTACACTCTCATCGCCTAGTTTACCTTTTGTCCAGGTGGTAGCCCGGGATCACACACTGCCAAAGACAGCATTTTGACCAGAAGATCCTGGACTTGGCCCATGCTGTCACCAACATTAAGCAGACCCTCCTGTAGCATGCCCAGCGTTGGCACATCTGTACTCAAATCCAGTCCAAGAACTTTCCCAAAGCCTCGCAGGAACTGCATTAGCATAAGGCAGTCTGACACGGCACATCCTGGCAAGATGAGGCCGGGAATCCGAGAGAACTCAGGAAGAGGCTGGATGATGAAGATAAAATAAATGGTGGTGAAAACTGAGTGAAGCCGTTTTTCAGTGAAGCTCAATGTCCGTCATTTTCATCCTGCTGTACATTCGCTGACTATTATGAAGATGAACAGTCCAATTTATGGAGTGATGACGTTCTTAAATTATGCACTTCTACTTTTTAACCACTTGGGGGCGTCACATCTCCACGCCATAAATATGTTGGGCACATTTGGTTTTATGAGCAATGTAAAAAATAAATAAAAAAAAAGACAACAAATACGAACATTATTACAGCTGTACTTTGAAGAAAGTTGCATAAAACAATTGTTTATCCACAATTCTAAATAATTGTGATAAATTAAGATTTCTTTTTTTCTTAGAAATACTCAAATGAGAAAGGCATATACAACGTTTCCCCAACAACACCATCCATATGAGTTAGGCTTTACCTTATGATCAGAGAGACACATGTCTTCATTTGGCTTCTTTAGCTCCCTGGCTATCTCCAGCTCCAGCCTCCGCTGCTCCAGTTTACGCTCTTTGTTCAGGCGCTTCTCATCCCTTTTCTCCTGCCGCAAGCGCTCACGCTCCTGGAGAGTTCAGAATCCATTCATTTAACAGAAGTATTTGTGCATGTGTGTGTGTGCGTGTATGTGTGTGTCTGTAAATAGACAAGAGGGTTTACTTGACTTTACTGGGCAGCATTAGAATTCAGCCTAATGCTGCTGAAAAGAAAAGTGCTTGAGGGCCAGAATCTTTTAACTGGTGGAGTGCATTGAAAAAAAAAATGAAATGAAAGAATGCAAAAGACAGAGAGAAGGGAGAGGGGGAGAGAGAGGGAGAGAAAGAGCAAGAGAGGGAGGGTAGGGTAGGGGGTCTGTCCATAGTAAAGGATAGAGGCACTTCAGTGGATTGTGTGTGTGTGTGTGTGTTTTAGCACTTATTTGTGTTCATATGAACTACCTCTGCTTTCTTGCGGGCCTCAACCGCCTTCATCAGCATTACATGTTGCCTCCTCCTCTCCCTCTCCTATGGTAGCAAACAGACACAGGCACTTTAACATGCACATTTACGCACATACTGTACTTATGGACAACTAAACATACTAGTGATTTATGTCACCATTTACAACATCGGCATACGTCATCAACACAGGTTTCACAAATACAGACTTTCACATGTATGGTGGGAGCGTAAGTTAAAAGTACAGTTATACAATGACAACCAAAAAAGCAACACAAAGATGCGATACAAAGTAGATGTGATGACAGGCTCAGAGAGAGAAGCAGCTGGAATCGATGACCGTGCCTCTGGACTAATGCCGGCACAAGGAAAGCAATAGAATGCTGGTTGCTCGAATAAGTTACAATTAAAATACAATCTCCACATCCAGAAACATGGTTGCACATTAGAATGTTGCAATAAAAAGACGTTTTTGGGGTCACTTGAACCTGTCATTAGGTTTGTGCTGACATTATGTTTCTGTTTGACCTGAACAAATGTACAAATAAATGGCTTCAACAGACCCCACAAAGTTGAGATAGAGGCAACAGGGAACATTTTGGTAAGGCTGAGTGTTGACGTTCCGATTACTCCTCTGTTATTTTTAGGAAGACTCAACATCACGCTACATGTTCATATTCCAGTCCAGAGCTTTTTTTTTTTACGAAACGAGTTGAAAGGTCATCCTACTTGATGGTTGTGGGTTCATCAGTAGCCATGACACGAAGAATCTACTTATATGTAAGGGTGGCATTTATGTAGAGCTTTTACAGACATTTTGAGTCAATATACTCTTTGTCTTCCCATGCACCACATACAGTAAATGTAACTTGGATAATGCCAGGCTTTTTTTGGTATTATAAAAATATAAAATTCAGCGTCATAGACCCAGTGAGTGACCACATGGTCTAATGGTTTGTGTCCCTTTGTTGACGTCCGTTCTTTAATTTCCAGAATGAACCTCCCAAGGACTTAATAGAGATTTATCTACCTGGACATTGTCTGTCCATAACTGTCCTGCCTGCAGTCCAGATTAGTCTGTAATTGAAAATTGCCACATCACAATGAGCACATTGTGAGGTCAAGTTGTTTGAGCAGCTAAATATCCTACTTTGAAAACTGCAAAGTTCGTGATATTTACTTTGTTAATAACAAAAACTATTTTTATTAATGTAATAAAAAAGTGTTAATATCCTAGGGATTTCTTTCTAGACAATTCAATGCATAAAGAATAATAATAATAATTTTGCCAAACGTATTGTTGCTCTTTAACCCTGATAAATAAACAATCAAATGCAAATTGTGACACGAAGTCTCTGCATTTTGATTTTGAATATTGTAATGTTTCTGTAAAATAAAAGTGTAACTTTCATTGCCGCAAGCTGAAAATTATCTAGGACATAATTTCAGAGATATTTAGCGAGTGGGTGAGAGAAGGGAAATGGGTTGTTAAGTAGTGCTACAAACAGAGCAGTTTCACTTCACTGGTTTTAGCAGCTTACGTTGAGAGCAAAGACTTTTGTGTTCCTGTCTTTAGTGTGTGATACACTCTCTCCTGCAAAGGGCAGAGGAAACACCAGTGACTATCCTTTCATTTGATCTCTTTAAGTTCCTGCTTCTCCATATCAGGCTGTCTTTTCTTCTGTGATCTCGCAGAAAACCATACTTGGCACCGTAAGGATTTCTCAAGGACATTTTCAGCACACCCTGACTAAAATGGATGTTTGTGTGCATCACTTTGTCACTGTGATAAACAAAACAGGCAGGATGCCAGCCACTCTGCTGCAGTATTTTTAGGGTCTCGCTTTTTTTTTTTCCCCGGTTTCTCCTTAAAACGTAAGGGAACGACAAGTTCAGTGGGGCCATGAAGCCTGTCTCGTTCAGCCTTTTCTAACTTTACCAGTCATCACAGCCAATCAATGTGCTGAAGGTTAACGTGATAATAGATCAATTGAAAGAATGACTTGCACATGACAACGTAAAATACACAATTTTCTAGCGTCTCAGGTTTCTCTCCGAGAACCCTTTAACTCTTCCAATGGGTGGATGTGTGAAAAAAAAAAGGCAGACCTTTAGATTCAGCTGCAACTGTGTATGAGTGAAAGGGGCTACAAGCAAGACAGCCAGGCCAAAATAAATGCTACACAGAACCATTTTTGTCCCTATGGTGGAAATGATCATATTTTGGTTCAACAGCAGGAGTTTATATTTTCAATCTACTCTCACCAAACCTGAGTTGAGCGAGTGTGGGTTCATTCTTTCGAAAAAAAAAAGAAAAAAAAAAGGGCCTCCACCATACAGACAAAATAATTCTCAGTAGTAATTTTCATTCTTTGTGCAGAGAATACAGGAACGGTGAATGACAGAGAGGCTGGGAGGTGGTTGGTTAAGGTCCAGCACTGTGTGGACTAAAGAACAGATGCACAGACGAAAAGACACAAGCCCAATGTCTGGGCCGGAAAAAAAAAAAAATCGTCAAGCACTCATGGGCAACACAGGCTTATGCCAGATCAACACAGAGACAATGTACAGTGTGTGATGGATGGAAACTCCTCAAGTGCACTTTGAGACAGTGAGTGAGGACTGGCCAGCAGTCTTTGCAATGCATTTGGAGTAAAATAGGGGTGTGTGTGTGTAGAGGGACGGGGGAGGGGATAGAAGCTGCTTGGCCACCGTGACAGGGTCAGTTGTCCCTCAGGACGAGCAGATGGAGGCAGCATACTGACTCTTTTTTTTTTTTTCTTTTGTTGGTTTTTGCTGGAAAGCCATGCAGAAGAATGTAGTATGACAGCAGCCAGTGCTACACTTAATGCATTGCTATGACAACCATAACACAACCAGTTACACGATGCAGGTGTTAGATGTACAAAAATAAACATACCCATACCATATCTAGTCTATGCCTCTCCAACTCCTGGCAGAGAGAGTTGGCAAAATATTAAGGAACAGAAATGATATCCAAAAAACCAATAAGCATGGAGTGAAATTCTCAAGACTTTAAATTCAACAGATGCTTGGAAATATTAAAAACACTTCTATAAACTCACACACACACACCTGGATTAAAATGCACATGATCAAATTTCATTCACTCTAAAACAGTCACACACGCACCAGGACTAAAATGTTTTTAAAAAAGTTTGAAATAGCAGCTTTGTTGAACATTAGGGTATTATACAGAGAAATCATTGTGAATGAGTACCTGGTGTTTGAGAATCTCTGCCTGCTGCCGCCTCAGTTCTTTCTCCTTGAAGGGAAAAGGGAGATGACAGTGGAAAAATCAATAGGTGTCCATGTTATAGCGCCAAGACCAGTTGAATCATTACAGACTGATGGCATTTCTGGATCATTCAAACAACCAGCTACATTTGAAGATCTGCAACAGAGGCACAGCACAATTATTGTAGTGCAGTGCCTCATGTATGCAGTACAATTGTCTGTCCTCCCATACACATCTGGGCAGCAGAAAATGAAACTCATTGACGTTTTGCATTCCTCGGGAGAAACATCCACAAGATATCACGTCAAATCATGACATTGAAGGACAATTTATTTTTCTTGCTCAAAATATCATTACAAATGAAGTGCAACACAGACCACTTCTTTCACTACTGTGCAATGTAGGCACTATGGCAATGTTGACGTTAATCTTAGTCCGAAAAGGGTCGTACAGACAGAAGCAACTGAGTAAACAGGGGTTTGTGAGTGCTTGTATTTGCATGTATTTTCTATTATTATTATTAATTATTTAATGACGTGGAACAAGAGCCATATGCATTTAAACCCACAAATGTCCCTAATATTTGTCATATCTTTGCTGCAATTGTGCATACATAAGATAAGAAAACCACCTGGCCTAGACCAGTTTTTAAAATAGTGCCTCAAACGAGTGATTGATTGCAAAAATGACTGTACCTTTATTCGCTTTTCAGCTTCTATGATTTTGGCATTGGCAGCTTCTTCCTTCTTTTTGCGTTTCGCCTGTGAATATTGATTCGGGTCAGGAATCAGAAAAGACAATTACAAACACACGTCAGTCAGCCAGGGAGGACAGTTTCAGCGTGAACTGACTGACCGCAGTCTGTGCAGAGACTTCATGTCCCTGATTGTCAGTCAAATTTGTAGAACACAACAAATGAATATTGTATCTCTTTAACAAGTAATTGTAAAAAACGGCCAGGCCCGCTGTTAAGAGTGACTTGCCAACCGTGTCGAGTCCAAATTGATTTATTCGTGCCCCCTAAAACACTTTGAAGCGCTTACACTTTAATTCTCCGCGTGTTTGTGTGTGGATGCGTCTGCATCCTCGCGCGTGTGAGCGTGTGTGTGCGCACCTTTTTCTGCCTCGACCCATTTATGCTAAACTGTTACCGTTGTCTGATTAAAAAGAGACTTTTCAGTCCAATTTAAATAAGGTCTGAAGAGGCAGCAACAGCCATTTTAATATTCAACAGCCGTCAAACCAAGACCAATTTAGCATTAGTTCCATGTGGAATTATGCCTAAGAAGACGTTGCTCCCTCCAATGCGTGCTGCTGTTCAGTAATGAGCTTTAGGAAGATTAAAACACTATAGACAGAAGGAGTGAGTGTAGCTATCCAGGAATGTTCTGCTTAATCAGTGGTGCTGCTGGATCAGATTCTTTACCTCCAGAATTTGCTGCGCCCTGAGTTCTTTCTCCATCCGAATCTGCTGAATACGCTTGATCTTTTCCTGTAACAAAAAAAGAAGAAGAATAAAAAAAAAAACCATAATCTCTCAATATTTTAAACACAGGAAAACATCTTTAGATAAAAATCGTCTTTCTAACCACTCTCTTTCTATTGGGTTGGACAGAAAAAAAACAAAAAAAACAACAATAGGTTTAGCAGTAGAGGTAATAATGGTAATTGAAAAGCGAGCTTTAAAGCAGCACAAAACAACCATTCAGCATTTCCTGCGGCGGAGACAGAGGCGGTGTGAGTCAGGACACTGAGATAAGGAGAGAGGCAAGAAAAAACATTTGTCAGCACAGGCATTAAGAAGACCCACCTGCTGCTTGAGAATCTTGATCTGCTCCTTCTGCTTCCTCCTCTCCTCTGCCGCCATGATTGCTGCAACAGTCAGAGACGGTGTTATTTTAGAGTCAACAGAAACGACCGACAAACAAAGTTTCATTTTTTCAGCCGTCTGCAGAGAACTGGATTTTAGACCCTGCCCTGATCCTGACTCTCATGACTGGAGGATTTAATTCACCTCCACAGAGCTGATCAATAACATGGCATTTTTAGACCATCCAGAGAGCAGCGATACACACCGGGGGCTCTAGCTCTACAAGTGACACCGGAAACCTTTACACACACACACAATATAAATAGTGAATATGCAATGTTGAGAGCACTTACTAAGCATCCAGTTTATTTGTATATAAGCATTATATAAGCATGCATTTCACAATATGATACAGCAGGCTTGTTCTAGCTGGGAGTTTAGCTAATCCCACGGGGCTGTCATTGAAATGTTTCATCTTGCTAAGCTGTGTGAACAAATTCAAAACAGGTTTTGGAAAGACCCGTAACGCAGCAAACGCAACACTCACGCAACACTGTTCAAACCAAATACATTCATAGATGTAAATGTAGTCGAGAAAGTGTTGAACGTCAAAAGTGTAAAAGACCAAACAAGACCACGGTGCTCGCGTCTGTACACAGGCCTCGGGTCAGATCTTACCTTGTTGTTTACGAGCTTCTTTGGCTGCACGTGCCAGTGCCTGTTTCTCCAGCTTCCGCATGAGTTTCATCTGGGCAGCCTGTCGAGCTATTTCTGTGTCGAAAAAAAAAAAGGCCCAGAAGTTACAAACAGTCAGGAGAAAATATGATTTTGTTGTGATTGATGTGTGATGTCGACGTGTATTTAATGTGAGGCTAAGCAAATAACACACAGGTGTTGAAGAAAGAAATGCACAGTGACGTACAGGTGTGCGTAACTGACTTCTATTGTTTGCGTCACTGTGTGTTGTAGTTCCTCTTTCTCTAAAGGGCTATTTCTGAATGGTATGACCCCAAACTCCAGCTGGGTGAGTGTCTTTGAGCGAATCAGGTGTTAAAAGATTTGACATTACTAATTTGAAATTGTGTTTCTATATAGTATGTCACTGAACTGTGATCATCGCTGCTGAATTGACAGGTACTACACAGAGGTGAAGTGTATAACGGTGTTGCTTTTTTTTTTTTTTCTTTTTCTCCGCTCACCTTGAGCCTCTAGCTTACGCAGCAGTTTGACCTCACTTGCACTGGGGCCCTCGGCCAAAAGCGGATTGGCAACGTTAGGCGGTCGTCCCTTCCTGCGTCGTGAACCATTGGCACCGTCGCCTGATTGGTGGCGCTCCGAGTTTGGGGGGCGACCCCTGCGGCCTTCCATGGCCAGAATACGAGGAATGACTTCCTCTTCCTTCAAAAGGCTCCAATGTAAACCCTAGGATGTCAGAGAGGAGGGGGAGGGGAGGAGAGCAGAGATGGGGAGTTCAAGGGAAGTGTGGTCAGCTGTGAGTAAAAGTCACAAAAATCACCTGGACTACAACAAGGTTCATACAACTTCAACTCAAGTTAGATCTGTCTAAAAAAGAGAAATACATAGGTGTATGTTCTATTATGTCTCATAAACAATATTATTATTACTGTGTGTATTATTTGTATGTGTTACTGTATTATTATTGCATTACTATTTTTTGATCATCTTCTTTCTTGCCCTTCATAACGACAATCAACTACCTGTCATGTTAACAACCATAAAGGTTTAATTTTATGTTTAATGTTTAATTGGATTCTAAACATAGTCACCTGTGGAAGTAATGACAGCTGATTATGACATTTTTTTACATCCATGCACAGTGAGAGATCTATAAACAACAACTACTGAGGTCTGTGTTCTACTCCTGTCCAGGCCCTAACAGTGACTGCAGTTTTAAACTTTCCCTGCTAATAGATGAAAAGATGAAAAACAGAGTTTAGGGAGCTACAGAGAGAGAGAGAGAGAGAAAGTAGGAGAGAGAGAGAGATGAAAGGCAGTCACCTGGGGTCCTTCTCTGGCTTCATAGAAGTCACCAACCCTTATCTTTGCACTGAAGCTAAAATTATCACGCGTGAGGCCACTTATTCCATTTCTGGATAGATACTACAGAAGAGAAAATAATAATGGCGTTGGTTTAGGCAAGAAATAAAAACTGTGAAAAATAGTGACATTGAAAAGCAAGTAGGAAGAACCAGACTGGAGGAAGTCTAAGGTTACGGTGTGCATTTGTGCAGAGCTACTAATCATTATAAAAGCTGAGGGACAAAAAAGAGCAGGCGCTCTCAGGAGAGAATAACGGTTCTGACCTTGGGGTGCACAATTTAGGCCCTTTCTTATTTATCAGCGGCGTTGCTGGAGGTTTTACTGCCCACTGACCCACTGAAGGGGGAGTGAGTGTTACTGATTATTCTCTTTTTCTCTTTTCACACAACCACTCCAAAGCAGCTTCGAAAGTCAGAAAGCTGTAATGTTTCAGTATCAAATAGTGATGATTACACATAACAATGTACTGCGTAAACGGGGCCAAGGCTGTGCAACCCAAAACTTATTTGTGAGGGAGAGGGGGTAGAAAATAAAAGTGGCACAAAATAATTATTTTGCAATATTGAAAGCAAGGCAGGAGGCTAGGTGAAGTGCATCAGGGGGGGGAAAAAAAGGGAAGAATCAGGAAGAATTTCTGATACCAAAGCACTTGTTTAAGCAATACCAGAGCAGCGTTGCATTTTCGGTTAGTCGTCATAAACCCTGAACCGCACAAACCACCCCTGTTTCCCCCACTAGTTATCACAAGCTCGTCTGCTCATCTGTCTGCCTCAAAACATTTGCTTCGGTATCATGGACAGAGATTCAACTGCAGCGCTGCGGCCACAGTACCTTCATTACATCTGGGTATTGCCTTAGTTTCTTGCCACATGGGGCATAGTAGGCTACTTCGCCCTGCGGTCGTCCTGCTAGTGATTTGATTCTTGTTTCTCTGCGCCACCTGAATATTTGGACAGAGGGGAATAAACAACACACAGAGACAGGACAAGTAATCAGACAAAAAAAAAAAAACAGCCCGGATCTTACAAACCCTATTTCAAGAATATATGGCACACGTGATCCAAACTAGGATCTGTAATTTCAAACACATTTTACCTCTTATTTATTAGGCATCTTTTTCTTTTATTATTTAAAAAATCTAAATTCTGTAATGGATCCAAACTAGGATCTGTAATTTCAAAGACATTTGACCTCTTATTTATTAGGCATCTATTTTTATTATTTAAATAATCTAAATTCTGTAATAACATAACCTCTATGGAAAAGTGCATTTTACCTATGTGTGACCATAAGGAGGAATAAAACATCAACACAGTTTGAAGTGAATTCTTTAGAGGAGCTCCTTCTTTCTGCTTCCTTTACTTACCCCAGCTCCAGAGGTATCATCAACTCCTTCTCATCCATCACCCTCTTCCTCTTGCCTAAGCCTGTGGAGAGACAGACTTTAACCATTACTTTGACAGAACTACCTGTGAGTGGGAGCCTCGTGCTCGCACATTCACAGCCGCAGCAGTCACATCTCATTTTAGAAGCTTTAAAGCAGGGAGGTGTACAGCAGTGATCATCCAGTAGTAGTTAAAAATAACATACACATAGCAGGCGCATTGGCTTTTTAAGTGGCATTTAACGGTGTGACAGTGATCCAAACAGGTTATACAGGAATATATTCATTTGTGCCGCCATGTTGAAATCATTAAACTAAAACGCGAAAGCGGGTCAGTGCCAACACACGGGTGAAATTACATCACGTAGTATTGTCTGATCAACTTAAGACCTGAGAGACAACGAAAATGCCTACAGTGTAGGAATAACACCTGGGTCTTCACGGAGCAATTCCTGAAACCTACTGATATTTTTAATAGTTCTACGCAGTATGAAGGCACACACTAATCTCATCACTGTGCCAAACAAGCTGTCAGCGCTCCCCGGGCATGCCCACACAAGACCTTAGAGCTCCTGTTAGTCCACATCAACACACAGCCTACTTCCTGCATCCCTGAAGGCTACAACCTCTTTTTATTATTGTCTGGTTCTATCTGATAATCAAATCTCCGAACCGTATGCTACGTCTCTCCCCGACATGTTCAACACGAGCTCCTTTAACCCGCTTCTCTTAATTTTTTTGTCCTGCAGGAGGATTTGTTCACATTACCTAACGGAGAGGCAAGGCTGTAGGAAGATGAGCCCGGAGAGCTGTGATAGGCCAAGGCACTGGAGCTGGTGACAATGGCGGGGGTCTTGATGACCTGCAGGTTGAGAGGGGAGCAGCTGGTGGAGGTGTGATTTGTTGAGGTGTTCAGTAGTTCTGGGCCTTTGGTTAGCCTGTAGGGAGTCATCTCCTTTTTAGATGATCCAGATGGCAGCAGCTTTAACTCCTTCACTTTCTTCCCAGAGACGTCGCTGTCTGAGTTGCTGTCGGACTCTGGAAGTATGTAACCAAAGAAAACCAATTGGGTTTTTTTTTAATGTTTTTTTTTGTTTTGGGGAGTTGTGATAGTCCAGGAAAAGTGCCACCTTAAATGCAGGGTCTTAATTACAAATATATATTTAATGTTCTTTGTGCAACTACATTAGTCTCTAAAAACAAGAAAAATCTACAACTGGAACCAATTTTTAACAAGCCACATGAGGCTCGTCTGCACTACAGACGAATCATGAAAGTTAATGTGATCAATGTACAAACCTGACAAACTGTCGTCTGAGTCATCTTCATCCGCTTCCTCTTCTTCCTCCTCAAGGTCATCATCCTCATCGTCGTCCTCATCGTCATCTCCAGAGTCGTCAGATTCCTTATTGGCAGGGAGGCCAGCTGTGGGTTTACACGTCCCCGGAATTCCCACCCCGGAAATTCCCACTCCGGGGATACTAACTCCAGGAATCCCAATTCCGGACTCTCCTCCACGAAACAAATCTACTAGGGATTGTACAAGGTGGTTCTGAGAGAAGCCCTTCCACGCCGCTAAAGGGTCAGTTTGTCCCGGTCCCTGTCCCTGTCCTTGTCCTTGCCCTTGTCTCAGCCCTGGTGTCTGCCCCTTACCCTTTGGGCACTTGTTCTTTCTAGATCCATGACCTGTGGCATGGGGTGAGGTAGTGGAGGGCTGGGAGGGAGGTCCAGCCGGGGTGGTTGTTTGGGTCCTGCCCACCCCTGTACTCAGATTGACAGGCATTGACCCGGATTCAGATTCGCACTGAGGGGACTTGCCTTGAGATGCTTGAGAGTCTTTGCGAGGTTTGCTGATGAGAGCCAAAGGTGCGTCCTGAGTGGTGCTTTGGATGACTCCGTTAGGATGGTGGGGTTCAGGAAGCCCCAGCAGAGCACTGGAGAGGAAGAGGTTGGAGTGATTGTTCTGGGGTGGAGGAGGAGGTGCAGGTGCGGGCGGCAATGGCGATGAAGACAGAGACTTCCTCTTGGGAGACTTGTTTGGCCCCTGCTGCTGCTTCTTTAGCTCAGCTGGGAATGTCTGCCCTTGGGACATGAGAGTCTGGGAATAGAGTAGGGACAGAGGAAAAAGAACAAGGACAGAGAAGGGAATCAGAGGGAGGGAGAGAGAAACCCAGAATGAGAGGGACAAAGAAAGGTTAGAACAAAAATTGAGAAAAGAAACGGGACAAAGTGAAGTTGCTTCAGCTGTCAGTTTGCATCAGTAGTGATTGTTTGAGCAGGTGACAAATGTACAATAAAGAACACTGGTACAGTTAACTGTGTCTAAGCCTCTTTTGGGGACACAAAAAGAACACAGATGCAACAACCACAGCCTTTGTGTATCCCGAAAAATCTATCGCAAGAAAAACGAAATCTCTCTCCAAAATTATAACTATCTGTGCGAATACACGAGGAGACGCGTCGTCCGATATCATCACGTAGACAGAACGTTTCACTTTTTATTCCACCGCTGACAAGTTGCTTCAGTCTGTGTTTAAGCAGAACCAGGTTAGACTTTAATGTTTCACTTTCAACTGGATGTGATACGAAGTGAAACAAATCAATTTCACAGACCATGAAATACAGTAACGGTGTTGAAACCACAAGGGGAATTCAGCTTGTTGCAAACATAGCTACACTGGTAAAGAAGAAGAAAAAGTTCAAATGATTTCTGAGAGAATAAGCAGATCTCACTGGGTTTGGCTTGTTGAATACTGTGCTATCATTCACATTTCATCCGCAGATATGGAATTTGAAAGTCAAAACACACAAAACCAAATGCCAGTTGTTAAAGCATTAGACTTTCCACAGCGCATTCATGAAACAACTGTGTGGGTTTGCAGACTGTGTGACTACAGAGGAAGAGAAATTAAATGTTTCATCATATCAAACTTTGCATCAGCCGAAGAAAGAACATACTCCAGTACTCCAAAGTTTCGCTACATATTGTGTAACTGTTTGACATGAACGTTGATAGCTGTTGCACCCACTGGTACTTTCTACTACCACAGCCAACTGTTAACAAAACAGGCTGAAGCTCAGAGTTGATTATTGTGTGACTAACATGAATTTTTATGAATTGGAAATATTTTTGATAAATATTTGAAAAGCTCATGTTTTTTTTTCGCTCTTTTAGGACAACAAAAAATGAATGTGATTTGTTGGAGAATTTGCTCTTTTTTGCTAAGTAAAAATAAAAATGAATGTGATTTGTTGGAGAATTGTAGAATGTGATATCATTCCAATGTTTTAGAGGACGAGTTTTTTGCTCTTTTTTGCAAAGTAAAAACGGTTGATTAACTTTGAAAATATTAATAATAAAAGCTCATTATATTTTATTTTGGTTGAGAGTGAAGTGAAAAAAAAAAGAAGGTGGGAGTGAACAATCAATAATCAATACTCTGTGTGGATGTATCCATTTACATTTTTGTAATAATTGAACATTACGCAGGTGTCAATTGGGCCAAATGTGGAGCGGAATCAGACCATCTGCGTCAGTCGGTCAGTTCTGTGACTCCTGATTGGTAGTTGCAATTGATTGGTTGGTTCAGTTACATTTAAGTTAAAAGTCCATGGACTCCAACTGCAGGTTTAAGTGCTCACTCAGCAACCAGGGGGACATTCCTTACCTGAAATTTGTTTAAAAAAAAATTGTATAAAAAAGACTTTTTATTTTGCTCACACAGCTTGTTGCTGCACAGGGAGCTGAGTGTCGTTTGCGTAAATGTGATTATAAAACGGCATTATTTCACCGCTGTTTTCAAGTGAACTCACCTGTTTCAGTCTGAACTCATTGATCTGCGCCAGCGAAGCTTCCAGCAGTTTCCTTTTGCTGGGCTTGCCAGTGCCAGTGAGCGCGTGCCGAGGAGGTTTCAGTGACTTCTGGGAGCTTGTTACAGGTGAGGTCAAACCAAAAGGTTTCGGGGAGGTAGAAAGCGGGTGAGTGGAGTGGGGGGGAGAAGGGACTGAGAGAGGCTTCGGCGAGGAGCAGAGGGAGAGGGGGAGGTGTTGTGGGGAGGAGGAGGGCAGCAGTTTGTGATGTTTGGGGGAGACAGTAGTAGAGAGTGTCTTTGGAGATGTGGTGAGGGGTATGGGTGAGGAGGAAGGCGATGTCTCCCTGCGGGGCTGAGTGAGAAGCGGCAGGGGCTTTGAGTTGGCAGCCAGGCCAGTGGACTGGATCACACTGAAGTGTTGCTGTGATGTGTCTGTCCGAGAGCGGGAGCTCTGCAGAGCCGCTGGAGATGTTTGGGACAAGGCAGGGGGGGAGACGCAGCGGGGTAAAGGGACCAGGGTGGGGGGGTTGGAGGAGACCTTCGGGGTGTGTGTGTTTTTCTTTTCCTGTGTTTTCCCACACAGTGGTCTGTCATTTTTTGCATTTCCAGTGCTGGGTATCAAAACCTAGGAAGAAAAAAAAAAAAACATCTGTTAAACAACAAAAGGGAGATCGTTTTAGTTTCATGATGTCAGATTTATATATTGAATCAATCTTAACCTTTGTTTTCTTCTTTGTCTGCTTCTCGCTGTCCGACAGTTCACTCTGCTTGTCTTCATCTTCATCGTCCTCGTCATCGTCATCATCCTCGTCATCATCTTCTGCAAGGTCTTCTAGATCACTGCTGAGGGACTCGTCACTGGAGCTGTCTGATGAGGAGCCTGATTCACTGATGCTCGCCACAGACGTTTCAGCTCCTTTTTTCCGTGACTTCTGAGTTTAAAAAAAAAAAACAGAATAAGCTACAAACATACATCCTATTTATACTTCAGTATTTCTGTTAGAAAAATCAGATGTACGCGATCTCAAGGCTGACCTTCTCTTTAGGTTTCGTCTGTGGCTCTGCTGGATTGCTCTGAGGACTGCTACGATGACTATTGGGAGGAATAGAATTTTTGGTTGGCTTGGAGGATACCTGGACAGGAGCTGGACTTGCAGAGAAGCTTCCTGATTGTGTAGTGGTAGGACAGACCCCGCTGCCATTTACTGCTCCGTTTACACCTGGGAACACAAACAGAGCTGGTGGTAATGCCATGCTCTCGCTTTACTGGGAATGCTAACTTCACGCAAACAGAGCTGGTGGTAATGCCATGCTTCACATAACTTCACACTTCACGGAATGATATAACGTCTAAAACTGACTAGAGAACTTAAAAAAATAAAACATGAATTAATTAATGCATCTCATCAAAAACTGACTCTCTCGATTCGAAATGAAGTCAAAGTGAGTTGTTTATGTGCACATGCAGTACATGGATTACATATGTGCACAAACATAGGTATAAGGTAATGGAAATGAAATAATCAACCTCATGTTTTATATTGGCTTCATCCTAAACACTAGAGTGGAGGGAGATCGTTACCAGTTACAAAAAACAGCATTTTTTTTATAACCTGGTGTAGCAAAAAATGATGACTGGACCTTTAAAAATGATTGTTTTTGGAAAGCTTTCTATTCAGCTCATTCCAGAAGTGACCCAAAATAACAAATTAGCAGGAAGTAAGTAACTCTATTTTCATTTACTAAAAAGTATTTGTTTTTACTGCCAAGATCAAAATACTCCCCTCCACCCCCAAAGACGAGGGCTCTGTGCCTAATATCTGTACGTTTGGCAGAATTGATGCCATTTATAATGAAAATGAAGCAGTGTGGACTGAACGTAGGTCATCAAGGAATCCCTACCGGACAAACGGAAGTACTATGATCATAAAATTAGATTTAGATCCACATTTTCACATGGATCATGTAGCTGTGAGAATCAATGAGCATGTCTGTCGCACCTTTCGACGGACTGTTCTTCCCGGGCATTCTGATCTGAGCGGGAGTGGTGCTGTGGCTGGGCTGAATGTGCGGGGTGAAGAATGGAGGGAAGCCAATAAAAGACGGCAAGAAGGCAGCAGCTCCCCTTCCATGAGCTTCGGCAGCTCTCCACCACTCTGTTAGGGAAGGACGGGGGAGAAAGAGGGGAGGTGAGGAAGGGAGTCCACAATTAGCCAAATAATGCTTCAAATAATTTTTAAAAAATATATTAAAAAAGCAGAGCTCGGTTTTAATCATGATTAATTGTGCAATTTTATGCTATTCATTTTTAAAAAAATTAATTTATCCTGTTGCTTAAATATTACTGCCCTCCTTAACCGCACTGCCAAATGAATAAAAGTGCAATAACGTTTGGACATTTGCAAAGGCCGTTCAAAAATACTTTGCCTTTATTCAACAGCGGCACTGGGCATTTCAAATATTTCCTGTAAATCTTTTAAATAATGAATATATTCAAATATAACAACCTGGGCTACTCGACACTGGCAGGACATTAACGCTTTAGTTTGTTGGTTATAGACAAACGAGTTGATCCGGAGCCATGATCATAAAATTATAACAGGCACTTTCTGAGCATCAGCAAATACATATGTGTATTTTATTTAGGTAATACCTCAGCCTCAAAGTACTCCAGTCATAAAATAATATGCATATATCATCACCGCCAGCGAGCAATTCACTTGCAAAAATAATAACAATATTGAAATAAAAATACTTTTTTTTTTTTTTTACGTACCAGAAAGAGCTCCTAGCTGGGGGTGTGCAGCGAGAGCAGCTGACATGCCCAGTGTGCCCAGGCCTCCAAACTCAGGCCGGCCTGTTCCAGCAGAGTAGAGTGCTCCAAAGGCTGGGTGGTTGACCAGAGGGAAGGCACTTGACAATGCGGAGCCAATGAAGGGCTGCTCTCCCGCTGCTCCAAACATACGGCCTGAGACACATCCATTGACACGATCAGTCACTGTCAAGTCGTTATAAGAAATAACAGGCATATTATAGGGCCGGAGAAATAGTTTACTGGCTCAATTCTGACTAAAGACATGTCCAGAAATGTTGAAATGATGCTTGACTGGTAGGCCGTTTGTGAAAGTCCAATTCCAAACGAAAGTTCGGTTATTTCAATGGATCTGAAATACACACAGCTAAGCATTTATTTAGCAAAATGCGCTTGACTGGTAGGCCGTTTGTGAAAGTTCAATTCCAAACGAAAGTTCAGTTATTTCAATGGATCTGAAATACGAACAGCTAAGCATTTATTTAGCAAAATGTAATTTACTTATCTTCCCTCAATACATTGTTGACATTGTTATTTATTTAACCTAAAGTACAATATCTTCCAGTTGGTTCAGCAACCATTTTTTATATGCACTGATTTATACAATTCTTACGGCCTTTAAAGAAAGAAATCAACATGTTTTTTTCTCATCTTCCTGACACAGAATGAAAAGCAGGGTCGTCGCCTCCTAGTGGTTCAAACATTGACATCGCTATATAAAAGTGTGTACATTGAAACATTGACAGTTGTTTGACACCAACACTTCAGTCCATTTTCAGGATGAAGATATTCGTGTCTCGGTTTTTCTTAAGTTTAAACAGCTGTGTGGTGACAACAGCAGGAAGTGTGTGTGTGTGTGTGTGTGTGTGAGGTGTAAAAAAGCTAACCTAGTTCTATCTTTTCTGGCATTCAATTTCAGCACAGAAGAATACTTCATCAACATCATCATCGTCTAGCGTTTTCCTGAGCACAATCATTTCTGGCAGGGGCGACTGCCACGTATTACCTCCTCCCAGAGTCAGATGCAATTTGGTGTGAGCATATTTCATGCAAATTCAATTTCTATTCCAGAGGAGGAGAGGAAGTCTGCTTGATGTCTCTGCATAAGCCAGGTAATACACATACGCAAAAAAAAAAAAAAGAAAAAAAAGTGATGACTGAAGGAAAGAAAAGTGTTGTGCACAATGCAGATGAAAATGTCAACCCACTGTACACTTGCACACACCACAGAAATGGAAAGCAGACTGACAACTGAGCAACCGGGCTTTTCGGAACCGATGCAGTCGGAGATCTAATTACCCACAGAGCTACTTTGCACTATTCTGCTCCTCTCAGTTTTGTGTATAAAAACACCGAGGAGCACTGCAAATGAAGACGCATCTCTCGGACCATTTGAAAACCGAGGAAGTGTTGGTGGTTACGCGTGCGAAGAAACAAAACCCAGACGCTGTGCCAGGGGTGGGACGTATGGGCGTGCGGCCCCTTTGTGTTGGTTTCAAGGCCCCTCACGACCACAAGACAGCGAAATCTGCCTCTTGAATGTCATTAGAATATGCTGAATATTTAGAGGCTGCCTCACAGGAGTCAGCCAGTGGATAGGAAGATAAACGACTGCAAAGCAACCAGCTGAAAGGCCAGGCGCAGCGTTCACATATGCCTAGGGTGCCAACCTCTCTCCCCCGTTGCACCCCTGCTCCTTTCTGGGCAACACAAAGTGACATCTGCAAATGCCTCTTCAATATTAATGCAGGCTTCCAGAAGAAGAATAATTAAATCGAAAAAAAATTTGAGGCGAAAGAGAAGACATACCTAGGATTACCTTCAACGCAAAAAAAAAAAATTGCCCCCCCCGCCCCCTGCCTCTCTCTCTCTCTCTCTTTCTCTCTCTCGCTCTCCTTCTCTCCCCCTCTCATCCTTTTCCTCATTCTCTTTCAATTCTTCCTCCTCTCTGACAAACTGCACCGCCTGCTTTTTTCATGTTTGGATGCTGCCGAAGGGGGATTAATTTGTTGTTTGTTGCAGTCAATCAAATTTCCACAGACAGATTTAAGTTAATTGCATCCGTGAGTTGATCCCAGAAGGAGCGAGTGCTACAAGCTCCCATCAGCTTTTTATTCTCCAAGTGATGTCCTCATCAATGACATACGCATGCGCCCCCCCCCCACCCCCCCACACACACTTCCTACTCATTTTGGTGTTCCTCAGATTTATTTGGTTTTTTCGACAGACGGCAAAAGGACCTTGGATCAATGTCTTGGTGGCTCTTGATGACACTGAATCTGTGCAACACACTTGACACAGCCTCGTTGTTTCAGGTCTTAAAAAAAAAAAAAAAAATCTTTCTCTGCCTGCAATCGGATACTTCGTCCTCAGGTGAGGCAGAGAAGATTCACACGATTCGCCCGTTTTTGTTTTTTTTTAACGTTTTGTGTGGAGCATTTGTTCGAGTTGCAGTTCAGGCATTAAACAAGGTACGACGTGAAATGGAGGAAAATGCCTTGCTTGATTCCCACGAAGCACAGCAGTTCAGATCTGACAGTGCGCCTCTCAGCATTTCATCTGACGCTCAGATCCAAAATCGCTTATCTAGAAAATCTGAGCGCACGTAATGGCACAGAGGGATATGAGGGATGTATAATGCATAAGGAAAAGACGCTCCTAATGGCCGTTTCTTTGGGTATAGACACAAAACAAGAGGCTTTATTTATTTTTTTTCCTTCCTTCTGGTAAAACACGAAAATAAAACACAAATAGCCTGGATAAAGAGGCACACAATTGTAGTGTTTATGTGTAATCATGTGTGTGTGTGTGTGCGTAACTTTAGTGCGCCAGGAAGAACACAGCGAGACGTCAAGAGATGAGGAGGAGAGTATGAGCAAATGATTCACTTCGCTCTCACGGGGGATAAATGAAAGACACAAGAAGTTATAAACACACACACACACACACATGCACTTCATTGCCCTTTGGTAAAACAAGCCAAGATACCGGACAGGGATGACTAGCCACAGAGCTGACCAATGTTAAATCACCAACACACACCCACACTTACCCGGAGATGCACTCATACACACACACACACGCAGACGCAGACACACATGCACGCACCCACACACACACACACACGCAGACACACATGCACGCACAGAAACTCTGTGTCGTGCTGAGCTTGATTCTGAGGCAGCTGGAGCCGGAGAGCTGAAGGTTGTCAGGAGACATGGCAAAGCATGTGTGTGTTTCTCACACAAAAGAGCCTCTTAATTGTTTTGGATTCATTAATGCAGCAGCTTTTCAAATGCAACCCAAGCTGTCAGGGGAAAGGGGAAAAAAAAAAAAATCCATGTAGCAGGGAGAGAAAGGTGTTTTCACACAGGCTGTAAAATAACTATATAATTAACACCAGAGGAAACTCATTTTTTCATGGTAAAGGAACGAGTCGGAGAGCGGAGCAGGCGTATCTGTCATGTGTTTTTCCCATGTTAAGATGGAAACCGCCGCGTGTGTTGGCGTTTGTCAGTACATACTCTTCTGGTGCGTCTCCGCGAGATGAACAATCAACAGAGGGAAAAAACTGTTCCTTACCAGAGGTACTGAGGGTGGATCCCAGTGCTGAGGGACTCGGGGCCAAGCTGCTCTTGGAGTGGGGAGCAGGGGACGATGAAGAGGAGGAAGAGGATGAGGAGGAAGAGGCCGCAGGGGAGGAGGTGCGAGCAGCAGACAGGGTGGGCACGGGGGAGGCCAGCCGCTCTCCAGACTCCATATCTGTCAAACACAATCCAATCAGCAGGGTTACAATAGCAAAGCAGTGGCAGAAGTATAGACACACACACACACACACACATACACCTGACACTTTTCCTTTCACATCTCACTTCCCAGGAACAATATTTCTATTTAGCCATGCTCGCTGGCTCTCAGCATCTGTTGATGCGGACTATATGAAGTAAGGAAGAAGACGAGAGATGTCGAAGGAAAGTTTGACATTTTCGTGGAAGACCAAACCCTGTAAAATGAGAGCGAAGGCTTCGAACCACAAAGTTTAATCTCCAGCTTTCTGACGGGTTTGAAAATTCATTGTTAAGAAAAAAAAAAAAAAAAAAAACATACAAAACTGGTGATGAGCTCCATTAAGGAACCAGCTGAAGTAAGTAAGTTGGTGCCAGGTGGTTTTGAATTCAAAAGAGGGCAGCAACAAATCTTTTTCTTTATTATTGTTGTTGTTACATCGAGGGCAACTACTTCGACCGGTTGCCCTGGATGTAACTAATTCTGGGTTACTTGGTACTACGTCTAAATAAAGTTTCCAAACGTTTCTAAAAAAATGATTTTTTTTTCCTGATCAAACAAATATTATTTTTTTACAGAATTCACGCAGCTCTGTTTCGCGAGCGAGATCTCTAAAAACACTCTTTACACTCTCCGTCTTTTGATAAAAAAAAAAAAGAATGTCATTTCAATTCATCAGCTTTCCGAGGGCCCTTTAAAGACAACTTTGCTCCTTGAGTCCTTTCAGTGGAAAGCACAACTAAATGGAGGGGGCCTTTTAGATGATGGACGCATTAACCAGCAGAGTAGCTGTCCATTATCAGTCTCACAACACGCCTGCTATTATCACCTAAGCAATGACATAAAACCCTAACAAGAAACACCGAGCCACCAGGCAGCCAAATATTTCACTAACATTATTCAAACGTAATCCCTGTTTGCCTACAAGCGGGGAACAAAAGTCTCCGAGCCCACACAGCTGCTGACTTGCGCAGTCGAATGAAGACTGTCAAAAAAAAAAAAAAAAAAACTTGCGCCGAGTGTGCCCACATTTTAACCCCTGATGCAGTCGCACACACACTCACAAAATCACCTCCTGTGTCCATCACACCAACCTGACTCCTTTCCTGCCTGACACTAATCCTGGACTGAGACTCCACTTCAAAAGCACAGTTTGCAGATTGTGTTTTACAGTGGGGGGTTTGTTATTGTGTCATTACAAATAAACAGTCTCTGCCTCCATTTCTCCATTTTCTTGCCTCTCTCCTGCCACACCACCACCGTCCCTCCTCCCTCTCTCCTCTGCAGTGGGAGCAGAGCCACTGATTAAATCTCTGAGACAAAAGCTGCTATCCTCTGAATATCAAGTATCAGCCTTTCGCCAGGAGCAACACGTCAAAGAGAGAGGGAGAGTGGGAGAGTGGGAGAGAGGGAGAGAGAGAGAGAGAGAGCAAGAGGCGCAGATGACAAGAAAACCTGCTGCAGTCCGCGGGGAGGAGGCTGGTGTGACATCGGACTTAGGCAGCCATGACTGCCACTGCTGCAGTATGAAGACGGCCGTTTTGTAATTATGAGGCGGGTCAAAGGTCCTGTGAAGCGGCCCTCTTACGCAAGGTGACGAAACGTGAGTTTAGGAGCCAAATTGTGAAGCAGAACAAACAGAAAAATAATGTTTACGTTTCTGGCTCAGTGAATTTTTTTTTTTTTTTTATGGTTGTATGAATGGCTGCCCCAGAATGTCATCTTTTCCAATGTCAAATGTGAAAAATAAAGAAATAAATACGTCGGATTTAAGGAGTGATTTGCTCCATGTGGAAAGAAAAAAAAAAAAAAGAAGTATGATTGGACCTGCGACGAAAATGGAGGAGCTTCGTAATTATCATAATGCACGGAAAAACAAAAGGCACATGTCTCAGAGGACAAGTGAGCTTATGCGGTGTCAGGCGGTTAGCGGAGCAGATCATTCTCTCTGCGTTTTTTTTTTTTGAAGGAAAGGGGATAAATGAAAAAGAAAAGAATGAGAACAGGGACAAAATGATTGAAGAGCGAAGGAATAAGCAAGACAATACGCTCCTGATTTTGTTGTGGAAGAAGAGGAAAAAGAAAAGTGCGAAGATAAAAGACAGGCTGTAAACTATTCTTGTCGTTTCTCAATATCTGCACTTAATGCCTCGCCTTGTCAAAACGTGATGATGTGAACAGAATTGATTCCCCCCCCCCCTAACAAACAACAAAAAAAGCAATCCCTTCTTTGCAGAGGTGTAAAGCAGTACTACCCTCCCCCTCGTCCTCTCTCATCTCTCTCATCTCTCACAGGGCCTTTCTCTGCGATGAGAGATGGAGAGAGAGAGAGGAAGGACAGCAAAGGGGAGAAAAACACTGCAAAGCGGGTCCATCTTCCTCCAACAACTACAAACCCATCACTTAGCGCAATTAAATCCAATAACAATAATGAGATTGAGGTTGGCAATGTAGCGACCAAATGCACAGCCACAACAATGATTGTTGCAATAATGGGAGCACAAAGGTATTTAAGGATCCAATCCAGACTTAATTACGATAAATTAAAATGGATTTAGCATCGGAATTAGTTTGATTTCACTGCTAATTAAAGGCAACACCGCATTGATGTTATAAGGCAAATGTTATAATCTCTGCGAACGGCTAAATCAATTCGACTCGAGCGCACGTCAACCAATCGGCGCGTCGAGACCAGACCAGAAACAGCAGGTTTAATATATGCAAAAAAAAAACAAAAAAAAAACAGAGAGAATTTATGCTAATAGCTGAACTATGATTTATAAGACGTGATCCTGCGTCGGATTCACAGTCACATCTGCAAATACGACCAAGCGCACGCGCACGGCGACCGGCTGTCAATACGTGCGGCTAACGGTGGCTGGATGCAGTGGCCCTTCAGGAGATGGTGTAGCTATAAACAGCTCTGCGGATTTATGACTGCATGTGCCCTTCGTATAGGAGCCTTCACGTGTCAGGAGCATCTGAAAGGAGGGCAGGACTGTATACGGGAGAGATGGAGTGAGTGCATTTGGTGAGGTTGTGACGGCCCGTGCGTGCCCCTTACATCACGCATTTGTTTGGCGGTGTTGTGTGTCCGCGCTGCGTGTAAATAGTGGTGCTTGATAAAAAAACCAGCAATGTCACAAAAGGCTGCGTGCGTGCGTGCGTGCGTGCGTGCGTGGGCTACACAACCTCAAATTCTAAACCCCCCCCCCCTTTCTTGAGTGTGTCTCATTCTGCCCCTTCTTCCTTTACCCTCCAACACGCACGCACGCACACACACACTCTATTCCTCTGTCTCTCTCTCTCTCTCTCTCTATCTCACACACACACAGTAACAGATGGCTGATACTAACTGAGATAATCCGCCAACAGAGTCATCAGCATGGATCAGTGGTAATCAGAGTGTGGACACAATGTCTCTTCTCCAGCCGTAATGGAAGGAGCGCCTGGCTAAAGAGAAGGGAAATGCATTATTCCCCATGATGCCCTGACCCCATTCAAAGACACACTGTGGCTTGAAGGTCTGTTTTGCCCCTTTTTTTTCCCCCCCCAAACAACCTCAACAAACGAGGCGGTGTCAGTCCTGCTTCGGCAACATTCACTCTCTCTCTCTCTCTCTCTCTCTCTCTCTCTCTCCTTGATCTGTTATTTCCTGCTTTTGATCCGTCTCTGCATCGATTCAAGCGACATCCTTTTTTTTCTGAGGAGCGACAAGGCAAGGGTGTCATCGTGACGACACCCGCCGAAGAGGCCGACGAGTGACGTTGATGACTAATCCGCAATTAGCTCACGTATTGGTCAGAACCAAAAGAGAGAAAAAAAACATCCTGTTTTTATATTAGCACTTCCAGTAAATGATTGAAGTAGATGATGAGCTTTTTTTCCAGGAATGTGTCTAGTATGCAGACACATCCAGTTACTAGGTGACACGCTGACGGCTTCGTGGCTCGCACACAAAAGCTACAATCACTGGCTCCGAAGTAATATGTCACGACCCCAGATAGTGATGTTAACTTGAACTTATTAAGGGTGACACGCTGACGGCTTCGTGGCTCGTACACAAACGCTACAATCACTGGCTCTGAAGTAATATGTCACGACCCCAGCTAGTGATGTTAACTTGAACTTATTAATAAAGAGTTATATTTAACAGGAATCTGTTAAATATTACGCTGAACTCGTGCACTCAAATCATGAAACGGCACGTTATAAGAGTGACTGTAGCAGCCCCTGCAGGGGAGGAGTGGAATTCTAACATACATCTTTTTACATTATTTTACATAAACTTTAAGCCTCTTTGCTAAATCTAGTCACAATAATGTGACATCACTTTATTTTTATTTTTATTTTTTCTCTAACCAGAGCTTTTACACAAACCCAAAGGCTTGAACTTCACCCTCCACTTGTACGTGTTCATGTTCGTGTGAGTGTACGCACTTGTAAACATGACATATGCATATGGATGTGGCTGTTTTGTACTTTGCATGCTTGTTGCCAATGATCATACACTCAGCCAAGATCATCTCAACCATTGCAGGCTGCACGCACAGGCTGGATTGACCTTCTTTCTTCCCCCTTTTCAATTCCCCCTCATCTAACTCCTCCTCCACACACACACACACACACACACTCAACCACACAATCCAAAAAGAAATGACATAAACAGCATCTCGTTAGCAATAACAAAAAAAAAAAAAAAAAAAAAAAACACAAAAGAGACTGAATATAGTAGGTCATTCTAAACGGCACCCCCTAATGGAGACTCTCAAAAACTGTCAGGGTTGTCCTGAGATTTTATGGTAATAATGGACTTAATAATTGGCCTGATACGAGAACAATTTTACACTTGATACACTATTGTCAGTTCCCACTCTATTTGGAATGTATCTGCTGCGAAAGCTTCTCAGAACTTTTTTTTTTTATAACCTGTGAGAAGCTGGGCCAGATGTCTGATGTGTTCACTGACTGATGTC